TTTTTATCAATATACAAAAATCCCCCAAACAAGAACAGAAACATACATACAGTGTGTGGCAACAAAATTACCTTAAATTTGTGTCAATATACAAAGTCCTTACAAATATAAATATTTGAGATAAATAGCTGTCCCTTAGTTTATAGTAGATTCAATAATCTACCCTATTATTTAAAGTAGATTCAATAATCTATCCTTCTATCTTATCATTCCTATATTACCCTAAATGATAACACACATCCATAACCCACCTAATAACCAACAGCCATCCACACCCCAAATCTTGGGAATGTGGATGTTGTTTTCTTTAAACTGCTTTCTGTCTGTGGGCAAAGCATCTTTAGGGTCCCAGGGAGAAATTTTGAGATAATGGCCAAGTCCTGTGAGGACCAGCTATAACCTTTGTAGATAGATATTACCTATCAAGATTCAGAGGGTCTCCCTTGATCACTCCTGATCACTATCATTCCTGAAGGAATCTATAGCTCTTGTCTCCTGTGGGAACAAAACTTGAAAGCATTTTTGATTTCCAAATTTGACAAATCTATTTTTTTTTTACTTCTTTCTTAAAGTTAAGGCATTCCTAAAGTCTCTAGATTGGTTCAATTTAGCAGTCCTGCTCACAATTCCATATCTCCCAGTAGCTGCTTCTTGCCCATCAGCCATCAAAAAAAAAAAAAAATATCCAAAATCCACACAATACTTTACAGGATCCAGACTCCCTGTGTATTTCCCATCTCTACATGCTTTTTTTCTTTTACTGTCTCTTTAAAGGCTTTATTTTTTTAATATATTTATTTCTTCTTATGACTGTCTATGCCCTTTTTCTTTCTTCTTAAGCCTACACACATTGTTAAACACACTGTAACCTGTTTAGAGTTTTTTTCCATCTGGATCTCTTTTTACTTTGTATCTCTAGTCTTTTTTTTCTGCATGAACAAAAAACTGCTAAGTAGAGTGGCTTGGGACCTCCACTTGTGGCTTTGGTGGCAGGTTCCACCCACTTCTCAGGTCATGAAAGCCAAGCCTAAAGCTCATAGCCCGGTCAGAGGTGCATTTTGCAAACTGCATTCAACCTTCCTGGCTATGGAATGCCAGTGCCCTACCCTGTGGCAGGCATTTTTACTTAGTTTTTTGTTTCTATTTAGTGTGGAGAATGCTGTTTACATGCTCTGCCATACATCAGGGTTTCTTAAAGGAGCCATTTTTTTTCAGCTTTCTCAGGCTCTAGATGGCCATTCAAGCCCCACGTTGGGTGCCAAAATGTTGTTGGGGCAGAGAAATGATAGGTAGGGCTGGCAGGCAGAAAGAATATATAGAAGGAGAAATCCGGGAGGAAAAAAGAAGAGGTAGCCAGAGAAGGAGGAGGACATCAGGGGCCAGCCACTCAGCTACACAGCCAGCCATCGAGTAAGAAGGAAAGAAAAGATATACAGAAGTAAGAAAAGGCAAAGGGTAGACAGGATAATTTAAGTAAAGCTGACATGCTACAAGCCAAGCTAAGGCTGGGCATTCATAATAAAGAATAAGCCTCTGAGTGTGATTTATTTGGGAGCTGGGTGGAGGGGCCCCCCCCAAAAAGCAAAAGCAAACAACATCATTTTGGCATACCAATGTACTGCTCGAATTTCTATAGGGCCTGAGAAAGCTTGGGGAAAAAAAAAGGATATGGCTCCTTTAAGCATTTCTGCCTGCTAGTGAACCCTTGAGCAGCAAGTACATTAAGTAGAAACAAAAAACTAAGTAAAAATGCCTGCCACAGTGCAAGCATTGGCATTTTAGAGTGATAGGAAGTTTGAATGCAGTTCCTGGTCACCTACCTCTGACTGGGCCTTGAGTTTTAGGCAGAAGAAAGGATAGGTGGGGCTAGCAGGCAGAGAGAATGAATAGAAGGAGAAATCTGGGAGAAGGAAGAAGAAGGAACGAGACAGGAAGGAGAAGGACGTTAGGGGCCAGCCACCCAGCTACAGCAAGCTACAGAGTAAGAAACAAAGATATGTATACAGGAATACAGAAAGATAAAAGCCCAGAGGCAAAACATACATGGGATAATTTAAGTTAAGAAAAGCTGGCTAGAAACAAGCTAAGTTAAGGCTGGGCATTTATAAGTAGTAATAATAAGTCTCCGTGTGTGATTTATTTGGGAGCTTGGTGGCGGGCCCCCCAAAAGAGCAAAAACAAGCAACAACAGCTGTCAGCTAGGTTGGTAGAAATACCAGACTAGAAACTGGTGGATCCCATACGGCGGAGACAAACTATTAAGATGATGATTACCAAAAACCCTAAACTGTGAAAGACTTAAATCTTGGGTGTTTTGTTTTGTTACTTCTGAAGCTTGAAGCCTTGAATAATTGAGAAAACCTTCACTGCCTATAAAATGCCACACTAAATCAATTGCCATGCTTTTAATTTAGTATTTGGGCCTGACATACAAATACCTGTGATCCTAGGACTGGGGTGGTAGAGGCAGGAGGATCATGAGTTCAAGGTGTGAATGTAACATGAGATACATGAGACCCTGTCTCAAACAAACCAAAACCAAAACTAAACTCATTGTTAGGTGCTTGGTAATAAATCCCTGGAGTAGCTTGTGTGTCCTGTGCTGCAAAGCTGACCTAGCATGCTAACGGTGTAGTACTGCCAGTGGCCTCACAGCGGCAGCAAAGGACTGAGAAGGCAGAAAAGGTCAGCTTAGCAGGGAGCTAGCTGTTGATCTATCTGGAGGACACAGGCTTGGCTACAGTCAGCAATGAATGGGGGTTTTTTAATAGTTTTGAGACAATGCTGGAGCAGAGACAAGTTAGGATACAGGATTCATTGAAGTCTGTCTGGGAAATACTTTCAAGAGGTAACATCTCAGAGCAAGACCAGGTCTGCATTTGTCAGGCTCCATGTGGGAACCACCAGCCATATTAGTTTATCTGAACCGGGTGTACCATGGGTGGAAAACACACCAGATTTGACTTAGCACCTAAAATGAGTATAAAATATCTCTTTCATATTTTCAAGTGATTACAAGTCCAAATGATGGATTAAAGTATACAACTAAATTAGTTTCATTTTCTTTTAACTTTTAAAAATGGAGCTACAGCCGGGCGGTGGTGGCGCACGCCTTTAATCCCAGCACTTGGGAGGCAGAGGCAGGTGGATCTCTGTGAGTTCGAGGTCAGCCTGGGCTATCAAGTGAGTCCCAGGAAAGGCGCAAAGCTATACAGAGAAACCCTGTCTCGAAAAAACCAAAAAAAAAAAAAAAAAAAAAAAAAAAAAAATGGAGCTACAAGGAAATTACTTTAAAACGTGAGTTTCGTTATATTTTTGTTGGACAAGACTGGTTCTGAAAGTAATCCAGGTTTTTTTTTTGTATCTTGAATTTATTTCCCAGTTTAAAAATTATTTCTGAGTTGCTGGAGAGATGGCTTAACAGTGAGGAGCACTTACAGCTCTTGTGGAAGACTTGGGTTCAATTCCCAGTACTCATACAATGGCTTACAGCCATCCATAACTCCAGTTTCAGGAATCTCGACGGCCTCTTCTGATGGCCTCGGGCACCAGGCATGCATGTGGTACATACACATAATGTAGAGAAAACACTAACACACATAAAATAAAATAAACATTTTTTTTATTAATTCTGAGGGGCTGAAGAGATTGCTCAGTAGTTAAACACAGCTGTTGCTCAGTCTCGATGCCCTGCGTTTGACCTTACACATCAGTGGCTCACAACTGCCTATAATTCCAGCTTTCAGATGTCTAACCCCCTCTTCTGGACTCCAAGGGCTCACACACAGACATGTGAACACACACACACACACACATACATGCACACACACACACAAAAATAAATAAACCTTTAGAGTTACTATTAAAGGAAATTTCTACAAGATATGCTTTCAGTTGGTTTCTTATTTAGAATGGAAATGCATTCTGAAATCATAGCATCGGCTTGGTTGTTCTGGTCTCATGCTCCATCTCTGAGACATGTAACTCTTGATAAATGTTTCTCTTTGCCTTCCATAGAATCTCTCTTAGAGAGTGTTAGCAAAGGATTGAGTTCTCCATTTTCTTGGAAGTCTATGAAACAAGAGCGTAACCAACCATGATCATGACTTGTAAATGAGTGGGAATAATAAACTCCTAAACGTAAGAGAGCTGAACATCATAATGGATTCCTGAAGATTATAGTGACCATAACTTTAAAGTTGTTCCAAGATATGTGGATCGCCTTTACTTTCAAGTTTTAACTATTTCTTATAATTATTTATATGCATGTGTGTATGTTTGTGTGAATGTATGCCACATGTGTGCAAGTACATGGAGACCAGAAGCGGACACTGGATTCCCTGGAGTTACAGGTGGTTGTGAACCACCCAATGTGGGTGCTGGGAACTGTCCTCTAGAAGGACAGCAAGTGGTCTTTATTTACCTCAGAGCCGTCTCTTCACTCCCTTTCAATCTTACCTGAGACTGGAAGACACTGTGTGAAGGAATCACTGGCTCAAACTTACCTCTACATTGTAATCCCCTTCACAGCTACCTGCAGCCCAGCCCAAACCCTGGACTGTTACGCCTTTGGCAAGGAGACTCAAGTATTTGTCATATAGAACCATATTTGATGATGAGTGTGAAGTAGTGAGAGACCCGATAGTCAAACTGCCTGGCTTCCCATCTTGCCTAGCCATTCTTTATCCAAGCCATGCCAGTTGTCCATGAGGCTTGAATTAAACAATGCATGAGAAGGCAGGCATGGAGTAAATTCTATAGTAACTGCTATTAACAGTTCGTTGTTTTTTGGTTTTTGTCTGTTTTTGCTTGTTTGCTTGAGACAGGGTCTCAGTATGTAGCTCTAGCTGGCCTGGAACTCACTATGTAGGCCACCATGCAAGGCAACTAACAGCTTTTAAATATTCCTTCCACACAAACCAATTTCACAAGTATTCTTTTGTTTGTTTTTGATTTGGGGTGGGGTGGGGGCGGAAATGGGAGGGTTGAGACAGTGTATGTAGCCTAGACTGGCCTCTAACTGCTGGTTTCTGGCTCCTGAGTGCTGGGATTTCAGCTATCATAACCGGCACTGAGTGTCAGGTATCTACCTTCTCACCGGCGCTGAGTGTCAGGTATCTACCTTCTCACAAGTGTGATAAAACACGCCAAGGAAGTATGCACACCTGCCTCACCCTCTTGAAGTTACCTTCTTTCGTGTATCTCTCTCCTCAGTAGAGTCACGATATACCGAGACTAGAAGCGTGTCTTCTCCCTGCCCAGCACCCAGCCCAGCTGACTGGCAGCTCTGCTGGGCATCAGCACTGGGAGACTAGGTTCTGGTGCTCGCCTTGTCACTTACAGACTAACAGGGAACGACCCACTCGTACTTCCGAGGTGTGGCTCATCCCTAAAACCGGGATCGCTCACCCGTGTCGTGATCTGAGCACGGCGCATGCGAACGACTGCGGCATGTGCCCGCCAGGGGGCAGCAGCGCGCACCCGGCCAGCCCGCGGCGTCTCACGTCAGAGCGGATGCCCCGCCCCGTGACCGTGACCGTGACCGTGACCGAGGGCTGCGCTGGGGCCGCGGCGCGGCGGGAGCGATGGGGGAGGAGGCGGCTGGGGTGCGGCCCGAGCTGGTGCGCGAGGCGGAGGTCAGCCTGCTGGAGTGCAAGGTGTGCTTCGAGAGGTTCGGCCCCCGGCAGCAGCGGCGCCCGCGCAACCTGCCCTGTGGCCACGTGGTCTGCCTGGCCTGCGTGGCCGCCCTCGCGCACCCGCGGACGCTGGCCCTCGAATGTCCCTTCTGCCGGCGGGGCTGCCGAGCCTGTGACACCAGCGATTGCCTGCCAGTGTTGCACCTTCTGGAGCTCCTAGGCTCCACTCTTCACGCGTCCCCGGCTGCCCTCAGCGCCGCCCCCTGCGCGCCCGGGGTGCTCACCTGTCACCACGCCTTTGGCGGGTGGGGGACCCTGGTGAACCCCACCGGGCTTGCACTGTGCCCCAAGACCGGACGGGTCGTGGTCGTGCACGACGGCAAGAGGCGGGTCAAGATCTTTGACTCCGGAGGAGGAGGTGCACACCAGTTTGGAGAGAAGGGGGACGCAGCGCATGACGTGAAGTACCCACTGGATGTCGCCGTCACCAACGACTGCCACGTGGTTGTCACCGACGCTGGCGACCGGTCCCTCAAAGTGTTTGATTTCTTCGGCCAGATCAAGCTGGTTGTGGGGAAGCAGTTTTCCCTGCCTTGGGGTGTGGAGATCACCCCTCAGAACCAGGTCCTGGTGACTGACGTAGAGGCCGGGACCTTGCACCTGCTGGAAGTGGATTTCCCCGAAGGGGCCCTTCGGAGGACTGAGAGGCTGCAAGCTCAGCTGTGCAATCCCCGTGGGGTAGCTGTGTCTTGGCTCACGGGGGCCATCGCGGTCCTAGAGCACCCCTCGGCCTTGGGGACAGCAGGCAATAACACAAGGGTGAAGGTGTTCAACTCCACTATGCAGCTGATTGGCCAGGTGGATAGCTTCGGGCTGAACCTCCTCTTTCCCTCAAAAATAACTGTCTCAGCTGTGGCCTTCGATCACCAGGGAAATGTGATTGTTGCAGACACCTCTGGGCCAGCCATCATATGCTTGGGAAAACCTGAGGAATTTCCAGCCCTGAAGCCCATGGTCACTCACGGTCTTTCTCATCCTGTGGCACTGGCCTTCACCAAGGATAATTCTCTTCTTGTGCTGGATACTGCATCCCATTCTATAAAAGTCTTTAAAGTGATGGAGGGTAATGGGGGATGATTGGGGTCCTGGGGCCTGGAGTCAGGAGTCCTGGTGTCCTCAGGAGTGAATTGCACCCTGGATGGGTCACTGTCACTCACCCATCCAAGCAGGAATAGTGGTAATGGCCTGGCAGAAGTACTGGGTTTGAGGCAGTTATTAAAGACTAGTAATTACATTTGTCATTTAGTGAATGCCTGTCCCAGTGTTAAAAAATTTGCAAATCTTAGCTCATTTGCTCCTTAACACACAGAGATATCATTTCTATTATTAGTCCCATTTTAGAGATGAGAAAACAGACCCAGAGAATTTAATATGATTTCTTCCAGTCGTGTTTACTGGGACAATCACAATTGAACTCAGTTCTGACTCTAAATATAATGCCAGATGTAAAAAAAAAAAAAAGTGAGCATGTCTTCTGTAGGCTCCCCCTGCAAGTAGCTAACTGGTTAAGTGCACAAAGACACAGAAGAAAGGGGTCTCCATGGAGCTTTCAGGAGAAAAAGGATTTTGTGTGGGTCTCAGCCACCTTCAGCTGGGAGCTCCCCCGACAGCAGAGTACATAGATTATTACTGATCCCAAGACTTGAGTAAGAAGCACAGTTGAACTCTCCTTATAAGGCAAAGGTTGCCTAGTTGGTAGTGTATGCCAATAGTCCCAGCACTTGGGAAGATCTGGAGTTCAGTGCCATCTACAGCTATCCAGTTTGAGGCTAGGCTGGGCTACATGACATTCTGTCTTTTTGTGTGTGATTGGTATCCGTGTTTCCTCTTCCACGGGCACGGGGACATCCCTGAGTGATGGTTTGAGCAAAGCGTGTAGAGCCACCGCTTGCTAGGGGCATGGACAGATGAAACTCTTGTGTTAATGGGGCAATGTCGCCCCAGAACATTCATGGCAGGAATGGCTTTGCTTGCTGTGTTGTGATCTCTGCCGCTGGCAGGGCTTTGTGATGGGAGTTTTCTCTGTGCACTTTAAAATGTGATTTCAACACTGTATATTCAATAAACAGTTTCCTCATCCTTTTAGAGCACTGTAAACATACTTTGCACTGAAGCATAACCTTGGCCCACATGAGGGCTCCTTAATTCTGCAATTAAGGAAAAGAATAGGAGGAAATTTGGATGAAGTGCTGATCCTTTGTCTATTTTATTTATTTTTTAAGCAAGCGCAAAAATCTTCAAGTTTAGGGCTGCTGAAATTATACCAAATAACTTAAACCTGTAAAGCAGCAGGGAAATGTTTTCTGGGGGACGCTCTTGAAAGGTGACAGTTTGCTTATAATGACGGATGCTATGTCAGCAAAATGGTATTCTTTTCTGCAAAGAAGCTGTTTCTGAGACAAGGTCTTGTATATCTTAGGCTGGCCTTGGACTTCCTCAGTAGCCAAGGATGACCTTCAACTTCTGATGCTCCTGAGTCCATCTCCAAGTGCTGGCTTACAGCCTCGCACTGAAATGCCCAGGGCTCTCTGGTGCTGGAGCTAGATCGAACCCAGGGCTTCAGACACGCTAAGCAAGCCCTCTACCAACTGAGTTACAATGAGTTTTAAGAGAGAGATTGTATCCACTGAAGGCTGCCTCAAAAGTATGAGTGAGACAGCCTCCAAAAGATATAGAAGCTGACATTAGGAGCCCAAAGAAAGCCTAGCTCCCATGCCAGTCCATAAAGTCCATGTTGCTTTTTTTTTAAGTCATTACATTTATTTATTTATTTAGTGTGTGGGGACACATGCCATCACGTGTGGAGGTCAGAGGACAACTTAGGTCAGAGGACAACTTGAGTGAGTCTGTTCTCTTCTGTCACCATCTGGGGGCCCGGGGATTGAACTCAGGTCATCAGGCTTGGTGGCCAGCACCTTTACTCACAAATCATCTTCCTCTTCTCCCATCCCCCACCATGACTTTCACTGCTTCCCTCCCACAGCATCAACAGTAACATCTTGGGTACCCCAAAGCTCCATTGGTCCTCCACTAGGAACCTAGTGGTTGACTTCTCCTCCATCACACATCCTTCAGCTGGGTACGATGGCACATACCTATGATCCTAGCACTTAGTAGGCTGAGGCCAGGTTGGGCTACATAGTAGGATCCTGTGTAGCTTGAGTTTTCCTGCCTGGCCCACAGTCAGGACAAATCTCTGTCACCCGCCAGTCCCACAGCTGCTCAGACCCAACCAAGTAAACACAGAGACTTATATTGGTTACAAACTGTATGGCTGTGGCAGGCTTCTTGCTAACTGTTCTTATATCTTAAATTAATCCATTTCCATTAATCTATACCTTGCCACGTGGCTCATGGCTTACCAGCATCTTCACGTGCTGTTTCTCATTGTGGTGGCTGGCAGTGTCTCTGACTCAGCCTTCTACTTCCCAGCTTTATTCTCCTCCTTGTCCTGCCTGTACTTCCTCCTGCCTAACTACTGGCCAATCAGTGTTTTATTTATTGACCAATCAGAGGAACACATTTGCCATACAGAACACCCCACAGCACTCCTGCCTCAAACAAACAAACAAATTATCACCGGTGGACCAGTGACCACAGCTATTTTGAATGTGTAACAGCAAAACTTCTACAGGGAGATATGAGCTCATTTGCAAGGAGGGCAACTGTGGATCGATCTTCTATCGCTTTCCTTCAGAACCAGGGCCTTTTAGTAATGTTAGTGTTCATTGACCCAATTCAAAGGATTTTTTAAAAATTATTGATCACATCTTTTAGTCTACACTCTATGTGTATCTTTTTAAGAGAGCAGCTACAGCACCCAGGGTGGTCTGTGAGGAGTTGTGTGCCACCAGGTGGAGAATCAGGTGTGGGTTTGTCACACGGTGCCAGAATACCCTGGAGATGTGATGACTGTAACTGGTACTCTGTGACAGCCTGTCTTTCTTGGGAGCAGGGTGGGTCCAGGTACACAGCAAGAAGTATCTAGGGCAGATCTTTCCATGAGTCTGTGTGACTGTTCTTCATCTCCAAGCATCCTCAGCTGAGGGACTCATGTCATCAACTTGTGATGTAGATCTAAATTTTGTCTTCTGTGCTGTGTTTGTTCAAGCAAGCTGAACTCCAGGTGATTAAAGATGTTGAAGAGTTCTCAGATAATCAAAAAGAAATGGACCCGGCAGACCATATAGGATGCCAACGTGATGGAGGAGAGCTGAAATGAGAACAGAGAATATGACCAGGAGTAAAAAGAAACAAATTCTTCCAGGACACCAGCCATGTTCCATCTAGGGAGACCACAGAAGAAAACACAGCACCCAATCCACACTCTCACACCACCCCCCACCTCTTCCCCTCTGACACTGTAAGCTGATTTTCACCCCACTCTGCTCTCTAGACCTGGCTTCCCCCATCTTTTGCCTTTGGCATTTTCTAAAGATGGTTCAGAGTCTTAACTCTCTCTTGTAGCAACCCTAGCTTTGGTGCTGAGGGCTCAAACCATCAAACTTGGTAGGCCCTTGTTTAGACCTTTCAGGGATTCACTTGGAGGTGGTGCAGACCTCTCTGGAGATTAGTTGTATGAACCTTTTGAGGAAGAAGTATAATCCCATATACATCAGAAAAATGAGCAAGAACTTCTGATGATTACAGATTTAATCTTCCTTATGCTTGGCACAGACAAAAGAAATTCATCCTGGGGACAAGTCAGATCACAGTGAGAAGTCTCTAGACAGAAAAGGAACCCAGTGGAGGGCTTGGGTGAGGATGCATTTGTTGTGGGATAGTCTTTTTGTACACTGTGAAGATGTGTCTCTGCCTAAGACACCTTCTGATTGGTTTAATAAAGAGCCGAATGGCCACTAGCTAGGCAGGAGAGGATAGGTGGGACTTCTAGGGGGAGAGAAGGGAACTCAGGAAGAATCTGAGCCTCTCGGAATTAAGCAAGTGAGATACAGAGCCAGTCAGACCTACGGTATGGAGGAGAGGTAACGATCCATGTGATAGAATGTAGATTAATATCAGTGGGTTAATTTAGGTTATAAGAGCTAGTTGGCAACAAGTCTAAGCTAAGGCCAAACGTTCATAATTAATAAAATGTGTCTGTGTCATTATTTGGGGACTTGTGGTCCAAAGCAGACCAACGAGAAAGACTCCGTACCTGCATCGGCAGGCCAGGAAGATGGCCCCGCCAGCAAAGTCCCTTGTCACCAAGCCTAACTGCCTGGGTCGGATCCCCAGGTCCCACATGATGGAAAGAGAGGACCAACTTCCACAAGTTGTTCTCTGACCAGTACATTTGTGCTGTGGCAAGTGTGCGCATACACTTACACACACACACACACACACACACAAATGTAACAGCAATAACAAAAACCCCACGGTGCCTCCAATCACGTCAATGCAAACTTTTAGTATTTTGATCCCTGGTGTTACTTAGGCTCCACGTTGCCTCTCTGCAAGACCACTGGTACTATGATTTCTGTTTTTAGAATCCCAAGAACTTTTTCTTACACTGTGTGGCTGTGGTGATATTTTATTTGTATGTTAATAAATAAAGCTTGCCTGGAGATCAGAGGAAATAGCAAGCCATTTCAAGTAAACACAAAAGTCAGGCAGTGGTAGCACACACCCTTAATCCAATCACTTGGCAGGCAGGGTCTGTGTGTGTTCAAGGCCATACTAGGGAACAGAGCCAAGCATGGTGACACACGCCTTTAATCCCAGTACCAACCACAGAGACCTGAAGGTCTGTACAGACAGGCAGTGACAAGGAAGTGAGGTAGCTGTGCTAAGAGCCAATGAGAGGGCAGAACAGCAAGGCAATAAAGGTGCAGGTAGACAGGAAGTAGCTCACTCTGGAAGCTGTGGCATGGTGAGGTAAGGTTAGCTGGTGGCTATTCCTATTTCCCTGATATCTAAGGCTTTCACCCCTATATTTGGCTCTGTGTTTTTTATTTAATAAGACCACTTAGAAATTCGTCTACATGTGGCCCCTCATATGGATGTTCCTCACATTATAGTGGAGTTACATCCTGAAAACCTACCATTAGTTGAAACGATAGTAAGTCAAGAAAGCATCCAATGTACCTAAACCTACCCCTTCTACCCCAGCTATCCCTTCCGCCCCAGCTATCCCTTCCACCCCAGCTACTCCTTCCACCTCAGCTACTCCTTCTATCTCAGCTACCCCTTCCACCCCAGCTACCCCTTCCACCCCAGCTACCCCTTCCACCCCAGCTACCCCTTCCACCCCAACTATCCCTTCCACCTCAGCTATCCCTTCTACCCCAGCTACTCCTTCCACCCCAGCTACTCCTTCTACCTCAGCTACCCCTTCCACCCCAGCTACCCCTTCTACCTCAGCTACCCCTTCCACCCCAGCTACCCCTTCCACCTCAGCTATCCCTTCCACCCCAGCTACCCCTTCCACCTCAGCTATCCCTTCCACCCCAGCTACCCCTTCCACCTCAGCTATCACTTCCACCCCAGCTACCCCTGTAGCTAGAGTTTTCCTGCCTGGCCCACAGTCAGGTCAAATCTCTCTCACCTGCCAGTCCCACAGCAGCTCAGACCCAACCAAGTAAACACAGAGACTTATATTGGTTACAAACTGTATGGCCGTGGCAGGCTTCCTGCTAACTGTTCTTACAGCTTAAATTAATCCATTTCCATTAATCTATACCTTGCCATGTGGCTCGTGGCTTACCGGCATCTTCACATGCTGTTTGTCATCGTGGCGGCTGGCAGTGTCTCTGACTCAGCCTTCCACTTCCCAGCTTTATTCTCCTCCTTGTCCTGCCTATACTTCCTACCTGGCCACTGGCCAATCAGTGATTTATTTATTGACCAATCAGAGGAATACATTTGCCATACAGAACATCCCACAGCACTCCCCCCCTTTTTTTTCAAAAAGGAAGGTTTTAACCTTAAGAAAGTAAAATTACATATAATTTGGGAATTTGGGCATAGTTTCTCTTACTACTTCCTGCTAGAAGGGGGCGCTGTATCTTATGGGGACACAAAGAAAATTTTAGGATTATGGAATAGTCCATGAGGCTGTATTGTCTGAGCCAGTTGCCTTCAAA